TTCTTAATTCCCAGCTTCGATTAGGAAAACCATCAACTTTTCGTGCCACATCTTAGTACGTTGGGCGTATCATTAGTGGTATACTTGGCTAGACGGCAGGAGCGCAGCTGTCTTTCACTAAGACGGTTTGGATTCGATTCTAAGCATAAATTCGAGAAGTTATCCGGTCATCTGCCCAGAAACGACAAGTCGCCAACCGTACACTGATTCGCTGCTTTATCGAGACCTTATTGAATTCTTCCGAGTCAGCAAGAGAGTGATTTGTTTAGCATGATAGATCAGTTTCTTTATGGCTTTGCCATCACCTGTATGTCAAGTTTTAATTCATTCGAACAGTAGAACGGTTCGGAATATACACATGCATTTCACGTTCTTGTGAAGTATTGGAAGTAATGGAGGTTATTGCGGTCAGTGCATCTCCTAGTATTTTACACTATTTCGACCTATTCAAATTTACATCGGTCGCGTAGTTGTCGACAATTTAGGTCCACAGCTGTATGATGCATCACTACTGATTAGTCCTAGAAAGAGAATATAGCTGTATGATATTACATCACTGACCTAGAAGGACATAACAGCTGTATGATACACCATCACTTACTAGTTCTAGAAGGACGAAACAACTGTATGATGTAATCTAATTCATTATTTGGTGCAGCTTCTATTCTAGATTTTGCATTGAAAGGTGTTGTTTGTTTTTGATAATGAATTGTCGCACTTTAAATAAAAGTAATGAAAACAAAACCATTTGCACAGCAACAACTTAATGTCTTGAAACTATGCTTTATATCACTATTTTAATAATGTAAGTATTCAATCCATAATTTTAAGTTATGAATATAATTTCAAAACCTATAACGTAGAAATGCATCGATGGATAAGTGTAGAAAATGATTGAAAGGCATTATTGATATTCAGCGTGGCCAGTAGTGTAGGCATTGTGACTCTATTAATAACAAATATTTCCAGACAGTGGGTATTGTGGCATTTTAAATAGCAAACGTGGCCCAGACAGAAGGCATTGTTGCCCTATAAATAACATGAATGTCCAGGGTGAAGGATACAGTGGTATTATGGATAGCACACGTACCAAGACAGAAGGTATGGTTGCATTATAGTTAAGAAATATTCCAACACACAGAAGAAATTATGGCACTATGAATATTAATCATGCCCAGGCAGAAGGTATTGGTGCCCTATAAAATAACAAAATTGCCCAGAGTGAAAGATACCTTGGTACTTTGAAGAACATGCGTGTCAAGTCAACATTTATAGTGACACTTTGAAAAACAAACCTGCCCAGACAGAAGGTATTGTGGCACTTTGAAAATCAAACATGCCCAGACAGAAAGTATTGTAGCACCTTGAAAAACACACGTGCCAAGTCCATAGCTATTGTGGCACTATCAATAGCAAACATGCCCAGACAGAAGTTATTGTGGCACTATGGATATTAATCATGCCCAGACAGAAGGTATTGTGGCACTATTGATAACAACAATGCCCAGACAGAAGGTTTACCCGCACGGTATATAACACAAGTACCTTGACAAGGTTTTTTATTGCAGCACAGATTAACTCTCCCTGTCAAAATGTGTTGTGAAATTATATATTAAAAATGTGCCTGTACTGTTTTAAGTGATTTTGATTAAAATGCATCAGGTCTATTTACTTGAATAAGCTGTATTCCCAACCATTGATTGAACATTTTGCCCTGAAATAAATTTTCTGTCTGACTTTTCGCATAGAATCTGTTTATACATGGTTTAGAATTACTTTTAAATTAGAAATGGATTGCTGAAATGTCTTTAATTAAATTTCGTTCGCCAAGGCCGACTAAAACATTGAGTCATTAAAATGCATCAGTGATGTAACATGACTTTAAATGCTGGTAGCTGATGTAGTATTCTGAATTATTTTCCCAGCGTGACTCCAAAGAACTCTTTAATTCACATAAAACTTGAATGACGAACAAGCAAAAAATTCAGAATTTCAATGCTTTATCCTGTATGTTTAAGTGCCGTTTCGCTTTGAACATCAACATGTTTGGGTTATCTATTAGCACTCTAAATTCAGATGTCAATTATGCTTAGAGGGGAACCTGTTTAAACATTTGTCTTCATTAATGTAACCTATTAAATGTGAGATCATAATTGTTGGGAACGAAGCAACAAAATTCGATTACATACAGTTAGGAAGGATTGTGCTTTTGTCAATGTTGCCGGGGCAAAGAGATGCAATATAAGAGACAGGGATAATATGATATCAAAGGTGTCAAAAAAAAAAAACAAAAACAAAAACAAAAACAAAACAAAGAAAAAAATCAACATTTCTTAAGAACCATAGGAAGTAGGAGATTAAATTATCCCTGTAAATCATTTCAAAATTTCGTAATAAACTAGTTACGATGTTGAAATAGATCAAATAAGATAAATTTATTTCATTTTTCCTAAGCCACTGGGGGTCTATATCTATTTCAATTTAGTTAATATATATCCTATTTTTTATTCTAACCTACAAGGGTAAATCTATTTCCCCACAAGTCAACAAGGGCATAAATCGATTAGTCGTTGATTTTTTTTCTCAGACTTCAAGAACAACACAGAAAATCCCGACGTGTCAACAGAACCTTAATTTAGATTCAAAGTCGATAAAACCAAGGGTTACTTTTGAACAAAATAAAGATGTATAGAAAAGCGAATGGAATAGTATGATGATATTCCGGAAGAGTTAGCTTTTTTGCATCATCGATGATACCTTTCATATACTTCTTGACTGATCCAAGTAAATAATATCGTGTGCACAAATGAGAGCAATGCAAATAACAGCAGTCATAATAACACGCATCAAACGCCAGTCTCCATATAGTAACCAGAAATAAAATGGTATATGTATGGTTATAAGTAAGTTTTTGGGTTATCGGTTATTCTCCACTAACCTTCAAAGGTACATTCACAAGTGTCGGAACCTGAATTCATCCTGTTTGTTAGTCCTCCTTGGTGTAGAATATATCGCACTTCAAGTACATGTTATTTTAGTAGACATGGTGGCCATAAGGTCACATGTCATCTATAATTGTCTGACTTTGGAAAAAAAGACACAGATCAAGATTCGTATGCTAATTTGTTTAGTTATTTGTACTTGAAGCCCGCTAACGGAAAATGATGTGAGTCATTCTATGTTTTTATTGGTTCATATAATGGCATTTGGTAAAGGAACTTACCGGGTCACAGACATTAAACCTGATCCGTTGGGGAGGTAAATCTGTCAAATTGTTTCAGTAATTGAGGGAAAAAGGATGTCTTATTTTTACACATACAGTAAAAATATACCTCATTAGACGTGTCAAGACACGGTTTGGATTAACTCAGCTTTTTGATTGAGTAGTAAAAGCTGAGATGTTTGAGATTGTGCAATCTTCGAGTTATAAAAAGACGAAAAATACATCGAAGAAAAACAACAACTGCACGAAGAACTCATCAAAAGGCTAAATATTGATTCGTTTGATTTTATCAAAAGGCAGGTGCACTTTCCAACTTCTGAAATATTAGTAACCACGGGCTTTTCCTTTCAGACCTAAATGTCAACAACAAACTAACAATCAATTACTGACTTACTTTACTACATTTGAGGTATCAACCCACTGGAACCCAAATCAATGTGATGAAAGGGTCAGTTTTCTATTTATAGCTACAATGAACATGACCATTGATTGTCCGTCACATCTAAACAGAAATCCTAAATAGACACTTCAGCAATGAAACACTAATTGAAGCTCGTGTCTTTTCACCACGTGATGCCACGTCGACACAAGGAAGCCATTGTGTGGGCAACGCCGTCGATGACCACCAAATTGAAAAAGACCAAGAGAGAAATGTAAGAAAAATATCGACTTTTTCAGCCAATTGTTATGTTCTTAATTCAATAATGCTAATATGAGTGTTACAATAATTTTTCATTTTACACATTTTCACTTTCATTTTCACAGCAATAAATTCCAAAAACAAAATACAGTTCAAATCCATTCATCCGTACTTTAGGACAGACTGTCTACAGAAATTAGATTGGTTCGTTAACACAATTTCAATACTTAAAATGCGATGCTTATTCAGCTGTGGTCTATTTTGCAATCAAGAACCTGTAATGCCCATTATTTTGAGTTAGTTATCCGCTGTTCTTTTCAAGTATTAAGATCTTTTATGTATTTGTATCAAAAACTGTTTTAATCCCAAATAAATCTTGTTGTGGAAGAATCATGTTTATTTAAAGAAACCCATCAAGTCACATACGTGAACAGTCATTCCAGCTCTTTTCAGATATAACCGGCAAAGATTGTACAAAAGAAAAACAGTTAAATAACATTTAATAATTTTGTTAGATACAGTAGAGCTAAATAATGAATTAAACTACACCATACTGCTGTTTTGTCCTTCAAGACTCGTTAGTGATACCAGGGGCCTAAATTTTGAACCCTAGGAGGCGACTGAGGAAAATCAAAGAGACAAAATGCAGACGAGGAGGTGCAGCAACCACTAAACTAATTTTTCTTTAAGAATAAGAAATTGAAGAATAGCGTCAGTGTGTTAACTGTTGCTACTATTCAAATGTATTTAAATGTGGCATTCAGACCGCAATAGACCCCGTAAATCATGAGTGGCGTGTCCATTCACCTCTCAATTATTTATATCTCGTTTGTATTCCTCGTTTTTTGTTTCCTGTTCGTTGAGGACTACAAACTTAAAATTGCATCAAATATGAGAATATTTCTATTGTCATCTGATTTAGGAACTGATTTCCTTTTTTTCCCATGGATATATTACCTACCATTAAGAATATATTAAATATACGGTCAAGGCGATTACCGTGTCACTTCGTTAATAGCAATGATTGATTGATGTTTATGTGAACTCCTTCGAAAGGATTTGCAATTTCTATGATGTGGCTTTAATACACAGAACTGATACTTTACCACCATAGACGTTTAGTGTTTTGTTACATTGTCATACGCTGAAACCAGCATGTCCTAATCCGCCGTCTAGCCGTAGACAAGTCCCATTAATATTCACAGCTTTATCACTGAGGAGGAAAACGACTGTATCCGCTACTTCTTCAGAGGTAGGCCACTTTCCTTCAGGAACCATTTCCAGGAGCCTGTTAGCAGCTTTCGGATCCCAGCCTTTTCCCATTTCCGTATATACGATACCAGGGTTTACTGCATTGACTCTGATGTTGTAGGGGCTAAACTCTACGGCCATACAATTAGTGAGAAAATCGACGGCGACCTTCGTGCTTCCATATATGGCAATCATAGGAAAGACTCGTTGACTTGCGAGACTAGAAACGTTCACAATGGCTGCTCCTTTCCCTCTCGATTTCATACCTTCAAGCAATGTCTGGGTAACATTCACCACGCTTTTAACGTTGACTTCCATCAAATCATCCAATAGTTCCTTAGAGACTGACTCGACGGTAGCAAAGCCCCCACTTGCGGCGTTGTTAACTAGAAAGTCAACTGGATCCAATCCACTCAGAGCACTTCTTGTAGCATCCCAGTCCGCAAGGTCTGCCTGTATTGTTTGAACATTTGGTAATTCGGTTTTAATTTTCTCGAGATTTGACGGATCCCTTGCTAGGACGATGACATCGGCGCCTTCTTTGCTGAGTTTGCGCACTATGTCACGACCGATTCCTCGACTTCCGCCCGTCACCAATGCGCGCTTACCCTTGAACATGTTGAAAGCGTCCTATTTCCTGAAAGAGGAAACTCATAAATATTACTGGACAAATTAAATAAATAATCTTACTTTGAATGAAAATGTTTTACAGATCTATGATTTCTTAAGAACTTGAGAAGCCCACTTTTTTGTGATATCTTCTTACCGATATTCTGCTCCTTGAATTAAGGAGAAACATTGGCTTTACAGCAGGAACTAATTTATGTCTCCAAATATAAACATCAAAACAGTTGCTTATTTCGCATATAGTCTTGATGCTTATATTTTGCATATTTACGAGAAATAATTAATTCAATACAAATTTTAATTGTGATTTTACTACAAATCATCAAAAAGATGCTTTTTGGTTTGTTCTAGTTTGGAAAATCGGTTTCCTTTGGCCCGTTTGAGACGCGTGTTGTTCACTGACGAGTCGCATGTATGTTGTATGTCAGATCGACGACAACGTGTCTATCGACGTCGTGGTGAACGATATTCTAAAAGATTCGAGAGAGGATCTGTTATGATATGGGCATGGATACTCAAGGTCTTAAAACACCTCTTGTGGTTATCCATGGCAATCTTACAACAGTAACATATCGGGATCAGCTCTTCAGACGATCTTCCTCTTATTCAACAACGTAACCTTACGTTGCAGCAGGGAAAAACGAGGCCCAATGTTGCAAGGCTTTGTCATGATGTTCTGGCTCATAACATCGTCCCAGTTCTTGATTGGCCACCTTACAGTCAAGATTTGTCTCCTATCGACTGTTTGTGGGACGAGCTGGACAGGAGGATTAGGAGGCGCGTCAACGTTTATATAACGTCGCTCAACTCAAGCAGGCCCTTATTTAGTGGTGTAATAATATCCCTCAACAGACAATAAACACTTTGATGGGGTCAGTGTTAAGGAGACTTTGAGCAGCTAATGAACCCAGGGGTGGATACACACGCTACTGATTTGGACCAGGATACGGCGTAGGGTAACGTTGTTTTAACGCTATTCACACAAACGCCGTCTGTGATAGGTCAACAAAAATCATAAGAATGTAATTCTTAGTACTTAACTGCTCTGTGTTATAAAAGGTCTAAAGCCTTATTCAATGAACCCTGTCTAGTAAAAAGGTATATATGAAAAGCAGGTTTGTTTTTTGTTATTTACATGATAGAATCAAAATACATCATATGTATATACCACACTATTTTAAAAGGCCGTCAAACGTATGTGTGTATTTGAGACGACATAGGTATTCAAATGAATAAAAAATGTACACCAGCAGTTTTCATTGTCTATTAAAATGTACGATTTGCACTTAACACATAAATCATATCATACTGTTTGTATCAACACAGATGAAAAAAACCAATTGTGATAAAGATTCTCTATAATATAAGAAAGAACGAAAGAAAAAAAGGAGAGAACGAAAGAAAAGAAAGAAACTTACTGTCTTTCCTTTAAGCTATTTGGATGAATAGTTATTTATCGCTAGAACTCCGCCTAGTCTAAGCCATATTTTGTTTGCATATGATACGCTGTATCTGCAGGATATTTCATTATCAGCTGTCTATCTGATATAGATAGTCTTATGACCTCTTCACAATTTATAGTACGAAACACTATTGAGCTCATACTCGCTTAAGAAAGTTATTCCGCTGATTTACACAAATGGCTTTCGCATAATGTTACGACACTAAACGGTTATGTTGCGAAACTTTCACGTTATAACGCGAATGGTTTTCCGCGCATTGAACAAGTGGTGAACAAGAGTCATGCTGCCTTTAAGAATGTTGTTATGGAACACGACATATTTGTTAGGTGCTTTTGCCTATCCTAAGCGGAAATATTGGGTAAAGCAACACACGTTGAAAATACATTCTTTATGTTATGTATGTTTCCTGTTTTTGTTTTTGTAGCAAATTCAGGTATAATTTTTTCATACCTGTTTATTCAGCTCCATTAGGAAATTAATGTCACGTGTTCTAACGAGTATAAGTGTCTCGTGTTTTATCGGAAGTTGATGTAACTAAACGAAACTGTTACATCCTCTCAAATATTAAAAATTGGCTATTACGTAATATTCAAGACTCCAGTTGCAAAGTTTATTCTTCTTCTTGATATTTCAACTGTTAAAAAAACAAAAAAATGTAATTGACATTTTTATTTTAAACCCTAATCTTTCTGTAGAATACATACCTCGTAGTATCTTTGTTATGTTGCTACACCAACATGTCGGTTAACTTGTTGACCATTAATGATTTATTTAAAGTACACTTTAATGAAATAATATGCCAGTTCCTTAGCAATAGTATTGCATGAAAGTTGATTTCTTTAAATATATTAAGATTGCAGTCGTCATACCCGAGTGATAGCGAGGGCGTACTAATACCGCGTGACCAGAAAGCTACCAAATGCTGTGTGTGTGTGTGTGTGTGTGTGTGTGTGTGAGGGTGTGTGTGTGTGTGTGTGTGTGTGTGTGTGTGTGTGTATACTTGTAGCATTGATCATTGGAAATTTACAAACAAACAAAATAATAAAAACAAAAAACAAAAACAATACAAATAAATAAACACAACAACAACAAAACTTAAACAAAACAAAACAAAAAAAAAAAAAAAAAAAACAATCCCCAATCCTCAAAAAAAAAAAAATGTGACCAGAAACCCTTTATCAAGAACAGCTCATCATAGATTAAATGCATAATTTGTGTAAATGTTTAAATGTTTATTTATTAATATGATTAAGTTAGAGAAGGCCGTATTCAACGCTTCGGTTACCTACAATGTGATGGATAGGAGTTCACGCATGGGTTGAATTCTCGGTTACCTGTAGTAGATAGTCCGATATATGTACATGTTTCAGGTGATCAGATGAAAAGATGTGACGTCGCGACGCAGATACACTGTACTGATACCCGGATCTCCTGAACACGTGACTTATAATTACATACAACAGGTAGTTTTTAACTTCGACCGTGTTACATTGTACACCAGAGACTAGTGTTAAAGGGTGTAAAACATAGGCGATAGGATAACGTTACTGAGTTAACGTTGTATTACTAATATGGTATGGAAACACTTACATATCAGAAAATATTCATGGATCTGTATATATTTTGCATGATACCTTACAATACAGCTATTGAAAACAGGAAACAATCCATTGTTACATTGTAACTGGTTCACTCTGAAAACGGATAACATTGAAGAAAAGTCAGCTTGTCAATTAACTTAAAAGACTTTATACCATACTTACTTAGATACTTATATACTCACCAGTGGTTCAGTTCCTTGGGGAATTTTGATGCTAATGGTATTTTCTGCCTGAATAGTTGTTCTCCCGGTGTAAGGGGTAAATAAAATCCCGATTAAAACTAACCGGACACAGTTCAATCCGATACCTGAACACCTTGAAAAGCCACGTTTGAGAATGACGAAATTGTGTAAAATCGATTGCGTTCCGGACAAATTGATTTTGCAAATCAACGCTTAAGCAAACTCCTGATAATGATTTAATTGTCAGTTATAATTCAGGCGGTTTATTAACATCGTTTAGATGGCATCATTGCCTTTTTATCTTGATAATAGTGGGTGTATATGTTACAAGCCAGTCGCTGAAAGAAAAAAACTAATAGAAAAATGGAAATTGCTTTGTGTGTATGTTAATTTACTTGTCTTAATTGCAGTATTCTACGGAAAGTGTTATTAACTGAAAACAAAAATAACTGTGATATCTAGGACCAGCTGCCTGACGAAGGCTACGCAACAATCATTGCTTAACCTTGCTTAATAATTGCTGTAGAAAGTAATTCTATGTCATCTCGAAGGATAAATGTAATGCAATTTGTTATTAATTTTGAAAACAAATGATAAAACGAGAGATAAAGATTCCAAACGGATTTTTTTTTCTGTTTCGTTTTTGTTTTTTGTTATTTTGTTAACTGCCAAATTTATTGTCCGTTATTCTGCTACATTCAAGAAAGTCGCCACTCGGCCCTCTTTTTCTGATAAGCCCAAAATCAAAGAGGGATCAAGGGATACAGACAAACGAAATTTAAATTTGTTTTTTTTAAGTCCTAAAGTCAAACGGGCAAAACTAGAAACCAAGGGAAATTTGCGAAAGATCAATCAAGTACTTCTTAAGATATAGCAAATAACTGCCATTGCTATAAAATCAAGACGGTCATTTGTCAGTCATTGTTTTTCCTGATCAGTCCAAAAATAAAATGGGCACAACTAGGAACAATGGGGAACCTATATATGGAATTTGAAATAGATCCATCCAGCACTTCTCAAGAAATGGAGATAATGAAATTGTTCACGGACGGATGGACCAACAAACGGCAGGGCATTGAATGATTGGCTAAGCATCCTATGAAAAAGTTTGAATACTTATATCATTTACTGCTTTAAACCAATATAATTGTATACAATTCTACATTTCTGCATTATTTCAAGTAAGCAGCCGTTTCTGTAACCATCCGCTTGAGATTCAGCGATAAACAGGGTTCACTGAATGATCTCTTTATCACAAAAGATAGTAATGGGAAACAACAATACATTCTGACATGTCTACACAACGTAAAAGGTTTTCCCGGAATTTCGGGAAAAGTCCACCTCTTCGTCTAATTTATGACACATATTTTTTACCAATCTGGATCTTCCTAAGTCTCCTTCTCGGTTACACCAGTTTGGGTCCTAAGCATCATTGACAGACCCTTGATAAAACGGCTGTATGATGCAATTTAATTAAAGTTCAAGGTAAGCAGCTTATGTAGAAGAGTTCGTTTTGCCCTCAAATTTCAACTCCTGTGTATATCCGATTGACCCACGATTAATCATTCTGTTAGTGAAATTGGAGAAGTTCGTGAATTCGCTCTTATAACACAGTTTTATAATTATTCATACATTAAGCAGTAAACGTCGTTTTTATTTTGATAGTAACTCAAGTCATTTTAACCTTCAGCACTTTGCTTGGTTCCATGTTCCAATTTAATAATAAGAATTTGAAACTGAAACGA